CTACAAAAAAATTTTTTTTAATATAAAATTATCTCCAGGGGCATCTTGGTGCCTCAACTGGTTGAGCATTTGACTCTTAATTTTGGCTAAGGTCATGGTCTCACAGTTAGTGGGATCAAGCCCCAGGATCCGCAGTAAGTGTGGAGCCTGACTGGGATTCTCTCTCTCCCTCTATGCCCTCCCCTATGTGTACTCTCTCTCTCTCTCTCTCTCTCAGAATGAATAAACATTTTAAAAGATAAAATAAAATAATCTTCATATCAACCACCAATTATTAGTCAGCTATCTTCAATTTCACTCCCATGGCATTTGGCAGAATGTTCCACATCCACAAAGAACATGTTTTAGAAACTAAAAAAATTCTATTTTCTCCTTAAATTCTTTGAGATTTCTCAGTCTTGTAACATATTTACTGAGCAAAAAATTCTCATTAATCTCATTACTTCCACTCTTCCCCTATCCCCAACCTCTTCCCTTCCCCTAACAAGAAGGCTGGGTCATTTTCCTGAAGGGCAGAATTTACATATACAGTTGGCCCTTGAACAATGTGGGTTTGAGCTGGGCAAGCCTACGTATAGATTTTTTTTTTTTCAATAAACGTACCGGAAAAGTTTGGAGATTTGTGACAATTTGAAAAACCTCACAGATGAACTGTGTAGCCCAGAAATGTCAAAAAACAAAATAAGAAAAAGGTAGCTATGTCTTGAATTCATAAAATACATTTAGATACTCATTTATCATTTACTACCATAAAATATACACAAATTAAAAAAGTCAAAATTCATCAAAATTTACACACCTACAGACTGTACATGGTGGCATTTGCAATAGAGAAATGTAAACAAACATGCAGTATTAAATAACTGCATTAAATTAACTGTAGTATATATTGTACTACTGTAATAATTTTGTAGCCACCTCCTATTACTAACTGCAGTGAGCTCAAGCATTGTGGTATTCCAATGTCCCCTTAAAACATCACTTGAGCAGCTGATCTCTCCAGTAAATTGTGTTATCACAGTAAAAAATGATCTCTCACAGTTCTTGCTATTAGCAGTTAAGTTCCTGGGAAGTCAAAAGTTATACGTAGATTTTTGACTGGGGAGGTTATCGGGCTGTTAATATCCATAACCCCCACACCTTTCAAGGGTCAACTGTACTTAAAAATTTTTAAGGACAATCAAAAAGGATACATTTAGTTTAATCAAGTCCTTTTGCAAGCAACTATTTTTTTTTAATGTTTATTTATTTTGAGAGAGAGCAGGTATCCAAAGTGGGGAAGGGATAGAGAAAGAGACAGAGAATCCCAAGCAGGCTCTGTGCAGTCAGCACAGAGCCAGGCACGGGCTCAATCTCATTAACCCATGAGATTATGACCTGAGCCAAAAATCAAGAGTCAGACACTTAACTGACTGAGCCACCAAGGTGCCCCTAAAGACAGTCTTTTCTTGAATGCCAAAACAATGACAAATCACCTCAAAGATATCAAACAAATTTCTTAACTATTCCTAACAAAAACTTTATCCACAGCATATAAGCTCAAATAGCTGTAAGGTTCCTTTCCAAGGTGGAAGGGGGTGGGAGGTTTAGATAAAGCAAAAGGCCTACAACTTGACTTATAAACAAAGACCTTATTTCTCCCTTCAATAAAATTCCCAAGAGAGATAAAAAATTTCATCATGTCCCACTGTTCTCCAACATATACCAGGCACACAGTGGAGCCTACCTGAGGAAGAAACTTGGGCTTGACAGCTGTTAAAGGGAAACCAAATCATAAAGGGCATCATTAAGGAATCTTCTTCACACATGCCAGTGGATTTTATCCAACTCAATGATACTCAAAAATGGGGACTACTTGCCCTCCAGAAGACATTTGGCAATGTCTACAGAAATTTTTGGTAGACATAACTATAGGTAGGGCTGGGGAGGGCTGCTACTGGCATCCATCTAGTGGGCAGTGGCCAGGGATGCTACTAAACATCCTATAATACACAGGTCAGCTAGGGACTTACCTGCTCTAAAACATCAATAGTGCCAAGATTAAGAAACTCTGATCAAATGGAATCCATGCTCTGAAATGGACATTTTTTTTCAATGTTTAATTTTATTTTTGAAAGAGAGAGAGAGAGCACGCGCACGCACAAACAGGGGAGGGGCAGAAAGAACGAGAGACAGGATCTGAAGCTAGCTCTGTGCTGACAGTGGAGAGCCCGATGTGGGGCTCAAACTCACAAACCACGAGATCATGATCTGAGCTGAAGTTGGACACTTAACCGACTGAGTCACCCAGGTGGCCCTGAAGGGGAAAATTTTTTTAAAGCTATCATCCCACATTCTATGCATAAAGAACTATCATTTCTTGGGTGCCTGAGTGACTCAGTAGGAGCATCTGACTCTTGATTTCGGCTCAGGTCATGATCTCAGGGTCACAGGATCAAACCTGCATCCAGCTCCACACTGAGCATGGAACCTGCTTAAGATTCTCTATCTCTCCCTCTGCCCCCTCCCCAACCCGCACTCTTTCTCTCTCAAAATAAATAAATAAACATTAAAAAAAAAAAAGAAGAAATGGAAATTAGGTTAAAGGACTTTGGGAAATTATATCCACAAAAATTATTCGCTAGTCAATATTGACAATAACATACTGATAGTAACCAATAAAATTAATAGTAACCATAATTTTAGAGGATTGACTGTTTTGAGGAGAAATTAGGTACTTGGGCAAGAAAAGAATGGCACAGAAGTTGTCAAATGAACATGAAGATAAAATCAAGTTTCACAGATAGATTATAACGTGAAACAAACCTTATAATCATCTCACGAACCATGACATCATGACTTGAGCCGAAATCAAGAGTTGGATGCTTAACTGACTGAGCTACCCAGGTGCCCCTAATCTCCATTTCTAAATTTCTGGTTTTGACCCCTTTACAATTCCACTATGATTTGCTTCTGCTAAATGTATCTACCCTCCTTGCCTGTCCAACTTCCAACTCATTTTCTCAGAGGGCAGTGAACCAAAAGGACATGAAGCAAACTTACTTCTGCATTCTTTCTCAAAGTCTTGTTGTTATATTTGAACTGTAAGTTACAAAGGTAGCTCTATTATCTCAAACACCAAGAGTTATGACAGTACTTAAGTTTAAACAGAAAAATGTTAGCAGATAATTCAGACTCTGCCTCTCATCAACTGGTGTAAACAACAAACAAGCCACTGACAATTATGGTTAACCTTAATCAAATCAAGGGGTGCTTGGGTGGCTCAGTTGGTTGAGCATCTGACTTCAGCTCAGGTCATGATCTCATGGTTGGTTTCTAGGTTCAAGCCCATATCGGGCTCTCTCCTGACAGCTCAGAGCCTGGAGCCTGCTTTGGATTCTGTGTCTCCCTTTCTCTTTCTGCCTCTCCCCTATTTGTGCTCACTCACTCGAAAATGAAAAATAAACATTAGAAAAACAAAAAAAAAAACCCCAACAAATCAAGTATTTAAATTTAACTTGCAGTTTGTAGGAAACACAGCAATAGAGGAATAAGTTAAGCAGCCGCACAAGAAAATAATGAGGTAAATCCAGGTGGGACATTCTATAAAGAAATAATCAGACAAATGCAGAATAGAGAACATTCTATAAAAGTAGCAACATGTTCTCTTTAAAAATGTGACACACACACACACCCCAAACTAAATTACAAGACACTAGGGGTTGGGGCACCTGGGTGGCTCAGTTGGTTGAGTGTCCAACTCTTGATTTTGGCTCAGGTCAGGATCCCAAAGTCGTGGGATCAGACTGGTGTCAAACTCCATGCTAAATGTGGAGCCTGCTTGAGATTCTCTCTCTCCCTCTTTCTCTCTGCTCCTCTCCCCACCCCCACCTGCACACACGCACACTCTCTCTCTAAAATAAAAAAAATAAAAAAGAAAGAAACTAAAGAGCCATAAGAAAATGCAACACTTGAACCTTTATTGGATTTTGATTCATATAAAAGCTATAAATGACATTTTGGAAACAAATGAAACATTTGAATATATAGACTACATAATATTTGGTAATTACTTTTAGTTTTTAAAAATTTTTAAAATTTCATGTCCACTATAGTTAACATACAATGTTAGTTTCAGGCCTGCAACAAAGTGATTCAACAATCCTACACTTTACTCAGCACTCATCAAGAGAAATATACTCTTAACAAAAACGATAGGGGTGCCTGAGCGGCTCAGGCAGTTAAGCGTTGGACTCTTGATTTTGGTTCAGGTCATGATCTCAGGGTTGGTGAGTTTGAGCCCTGCATTAGGATCTGCGCTGACAGAACTGCAGAGCCTGCTTGGGATTCTGTCTCTTTCTCTCTCTGTCCCTCCGAGGTCCCTCCCAACTTGGGAATTTTTTTTTGAATTTTCTTTAAAAGAACAGTTATGTTAGAGTTATATAGGAGAATGTATTTATTCTAAGCAAGTGCCTGAAATATTTAGTGGAAATGTCATGATTTTCAAGTGGCTTAGCAAACATATGCATATTTTAGTGCTTTCTTATAGACATTAGTGTGTTAAAACACCATTGTGTCTAGGTAAGAGGTTCACTGTCATACACCTTGTACTCTTTCACTTTCACATGCATGACGTTTTCTTTAAAAAAAAAAAATGTTTATTTACTTTTGAGAGACAGAGTGTGAGTAGGGAAGGGGCAGAGAGAGAGGGAGACACAGAATTTTAAGCAGGCTCCAGGCTCTGAGCTGTCAGCACAGAGCCCAACGCGGGGCTCAAACCCACGAACCATGAGATCATGACCTGGACCGAAGTCAGATGCCCAACCAACTGAGCCACCCAGGCGCCCCCATGCATGAAATTTTCTTAATAAAAAAGTTGCGGGAAATCAGATGAATAAGGTCTGACAATCTAATATAAAACATGACTATACTTGGTAACACTGTACCATATCACTGAAATTTGCTGAATAGAACTTAAATGTTCTCACATGCAGAAAAAATAAATGTGAGGTGATGAATGTGTTCATTAACTAGATGGAGGGAATCCTTTTACAATGTACATGAAATCACCATATGTATACTTGAAATATCTTACATTTTGGCAATTATACTTCAATAAGGTTGAAATTTTTTTTTCAACGTTTATTTATTTTGGGGACAGAGAGAGACAGAGCATGAACGGGGGAGGGGCAGAGAGAGAGGGAGACACAGAATCGGAAACAGGCTCCAGGCTCTGAGCCATCAGCCCAGAGCCCGACGCGGGGCTCGAACTCACGGACCGCGAGATCGTGACCTGGCTGAAGTCGGACGCTTAACCGACTGCGCCACCCAGGCGCCCCAATAAGGTTGAAATTTTAAAAAAAAGTTGGGCGTAAAAACCACCTATTCATATTTTGGTTATGATATTTTTGCACTACCATATTCTGCCACTATCCTTTTGCCATTTACTAAATCAAACTGGTAGCCTTGTTGATTTTCTATTTAACTTGTTCTTATTTCTAGGAGCAATTTTCACATAGATTCGCATATACACATTTCTTAAAACATACATAATTAATGTTAGAAAAAATGTATTTAAGGTGGATTATGGGGGCGCCTGGGTGGCGCAGTCGGTTAAGGTGGATTATGTTGGCTACCAAGGAGGTACTGTAAGAGGAGACAGACTCTGCCATCTTCCATTAAGCCAACCCATTATTTGACATCTTAGTAACCTATTTGGTCTCTGTATTTTACAGCAGTAATTATAGTGACAACCTAATTTTTGTATACTTAGACTTTACTCAATAATGTGGCTCACACAGGACTATTAGCAATTCCCACAGTCTTTTAAGTCTTTGTCATTCATCTTTCCACCCATAATATGGGTATACCAGACATACCTTTCTAGGGAGAAGTGAACTACACCTTAAGCACTGGCAAATATGGTAATCTATACTCAGATCCTAGCTAATCAGTAGAAGTCTACATAATTGAAAAGATACAAAGAGAATCTTTACAAACAACCTGTTATTTAAAAGCGACAAGGTGTGCCTGGGTGGCTCAAACGGTTAAGCATCTGACTCCTGATTTCCACTCAGGTCATGATCTCACAGTTCCTGGGGCTTGGTTTGTGGGATCAAGCCCCATGTTGGGCTCAAGCTGAGGCTGCTTGGGATCCTCTCTGCCCCTTCCCCCTTCCCATTCATTCTTTCTCTCACACACAAAATGAATAAACATTAAAAAAAAAAACAAAACAACTGGCTGGCTCAGTTACTTGAGCGTCGGACTTCAGCTCAGGTCATTATCTCACGGTTCCTTCGTGATTTGAGCCAGCAGTTGGGCTCTGTGCTGACAGCTCAGAGCCTGGAGCCTGCCTCAGATTCTGTGTCTCCCTCTCTCTCTGCCCCCTCCTCTACTTGTGTACACACACACACACACACACACACACACACACACACACACACAATGCTCTCTCTCAAAAATAAACAAACATTACAAAAACAAAAATTTTAAGAACATACCCTCTTACTCTAGGGTAAGAAATAATAATCCTCAAAACAACTGGCATCTATTTTCAAGTTATCTCAATTTTTGTCTAGATTAATTCTAGAAAACCTACAGAGCTGACTACTTAATATGGCTATAAAATTACCGTTAAACCTGTAAGAAGCTTTTATTGTCTTTTGCATGACTGATTTCATCCCTTACAGAATCTAACAGTTGTAGAACCTCACACATAATATTCACAATGTGTTCCTCAACAGTGTTAATAACCTAATGCTCCCAAACACAAAATACTTTCAATTTACCAGGCAGCAAATCTATCAAGAAGCACCCAGATAAGAGCTCTGTGCTCTTTACTAAAACAACAACTAAAGTAAGCAATAAGTTCTCTATTTTTAAAGGGTTCAATATTCAGGGGTCCCTTTCCCAAGAAGCTTTTCTTCGCTGACAGTTGTGTGACCTATATTCCATTTCTACTCCCTTGATTTCATTTAACTCTTCTAAATACTAGTAATATGTTAGTCTATTTCCCTTTTCTCCTCCTGAGTTATACGTAAAAATGTTTTTTGTGGATATGGCTTTATTACCACAAACCCGAATGCCAAGAATCTATCAAAGTCTTATTACATTGATATGATAAAGGCACCAAACAGCTCTAGGGTTTGTAATTTAAATCAGAAATCACCACCCTCAGGGTGCCTGGGTGGTTCAGTCGGTTAAGTCCGACTCTTGATTTCGGCTATGGCCACAATCTCATGGTTTGCTGGTTCAGGATCCCAGGCCATCAGCCTGGAGCTTGCTTGGGGATTGATTCCCTGCCTCTCAAAATACATAAATAAACTTTTAAAAAAAGCATTGGGGGTAGCTGGATGGCTCAGTTGGTTAAGCATCCAACTTTGGCTCAGGTCATGATTTCATAGGTTGTGAGTTCGAGCCCCACGTCAGGCTCTGTGCTGACAGCTCAGAGCCTGGAGCCTGCTTCAGATTCTGTGTCTCCCTCTCTCTCTCTGCCCCTCCCCTGCTGTGCTCTCCTTCCCCCTCTCAAAAATAAACAAACTTAAAAAAATAATAATAAAATGAAAAAAAAGAAATCTCCACCCTCAACAGAAAGACATACAGTAAAACCTTGGCTTGCGAGCATAGTTTGTTCTGGAAACATGCTTGTAATCCAAAGCACTCGTATATCAAAGCGAAATTTCCCCATAAGAAATAACAGAAACTCAGATGATCCATTCCACACCCAAAAATACTCATGTAAAAATGATTACAATATTGCAATATAAAATAATAAAGAAAATACAAAATATAAAGAAAAATAAATAAATTAACCTGCACTTACCTTTGAAAACCTTCGTGGCTGGTGTGAGGGAGACAAGAGAGAGGAGGGTTATTGTGTAGGACGACTTTCACTATCACTAATGGAATCACTGCTATGTATTGGCTCAATGCAATCTTTCTCTTTTCGTGCAACTTTAACAAGGAACCTATCCAATGACACTTACTTTTGCCTCCTTTTGAGGATTTCGCGGAAATGTGACATTGCATTGTCGTTAAATAGATTCATCGCTTGCACTGCTACAGCCTTATTCAGGTGGTGCTTTTCTACAAAATTTTGCACTGTTTCCCACATTTTACACATCTCCCTAATCTCATCTGAAGTGAGGGATTCCTCTGCCTTTTTCTCCTCTGCAGACGAGATCTCCTCCATAACCTTTTGCTGTTGCTCGCGATGCAGATCCATCAGTTCATCGGTGGTCAGCTCCTGACCATGTTCCTCCACCAGCTCCTGGATGTCATCCTCGTTCACCTCTAGGCCCATGGTCTTCCCCAAGGACACAATTTCATCGACAACTGGCGCCTCCTGTTCATGAGCAAGCCCCTCTAGGTCATGTCCAAGAACACAATCAGGCCACAGTTTTCTCCAAGCAGAACAGAGGGTTCTCTTGGTGACCCCATCCCAGGCTTTATCAATGATCTTCAGGCAGTTCACGATGTGGAAATGATTTTTCCAAAACTCTCGTAGAGTAAGGTTTGTTCCTTCGGTCACCTCAAAGCATTGCTGAAATAGTGCTTTGATGTAAAGCTTTTTAAAGTTTGAAATGACCTGCTGATCCATGGGCTGGAGGATTGGAGTGGTGTTGGGAGGAAGGAACTTGCCCTTAATGAACTCGAATTCCTCCAGTAAGTCGTCCTCAAAGCCTGGAGGATGAGCAGGAGCATTATCCATGACCAGCAAGGCTTTGAGTGGCAGATTCTTTTCTAAAAGGTATTTCTTCACTGCAGGACCAAAGACCTCGTTGATCCACTCAATGAACAACATACGAGTGACCCAAGCCTTGCTGTTGGACCGCCACATAACGTTTAACTGGCTCTTCTGAACCTTGCATTTCTTGAAGGCTCGTGGATTCTCAGAATGATACACAAGCAGGGGCTTGACTTTAAAATCCCCGCTTGCATTAGCACAAAACAAGAGGGTGAGATGGTCTTTCATGGGCTTGTGACCAGGCATTGCATTCTCTTCTTCTGTAATGTAGGTCCTCTTTGGCATCTTTTTCCAAAAAAGCCTCGTCTCATCGCAGTTAAAAACTTGTTCTGGCAGGTAACACTCAGAAACCATGAGCTTCTGGAACTCAGTAGCGAATGCCTCAGCTGCCTTAGCGTCCAAACTTGCAGCTTCTCCGTGCTTCGCAACACTACGGATGCCACTTCTCCTTTTAAAGTTATCAAACCATCCCCTGCTTGCCTTGAAGCCTTCTTCTTTTTCTGTTGACGTACCTGGCAGTTTACTTACAAGGTCAGTGTACAAGGCCTTTGCCTTCTCACAGATAAAATTCTCAGTCACAGTATCACCTGCTAGTTGCTTCTCGTTTATCCAAACCAGAAGCAACTTCTCTACATCTTCCAGAACACGTGGCCGTTGCTTTGATATTCTCGTGACTCCTTTTGCTGCATCTAGCCCCCTTATTTCTTCTTTCTTCTTTAATATTGTACAAATGGTCGACGTAGACTTCTTATAAAATCTTGCAATTTCAGCCACTCGCATACCTCGTTCATACTTCTTGATGATCTCCTTCTTAACTTCCACTGTAATCATCTCCTTCTTCTTACCACCTTTCTTTTCAACATGTTTCCGCCTGGGGGCCATTGTATACGCTTGCACGGATGTTGACTACAGTACAGTATTAATAAACTCTTGTTACCGTATTTAATGTAATTGGCAATAAGGCAGCAGAGGAAAGGGTCTATATCTGCAGGCAGCCTGACCTAGAATGAAGCAAAGCATTCCTAAGCTTACTCTTGTATGGAAAAGCAAAGGACTGTCCATAGGTGCTTTGAAGTGACAAAACATACACTAGTGCCAGCTGTGGGCACCTTCCAACGTTCTGAAAGATCACTGATTTCTGCCAGATGCTGCGGCCTGAGACCGAGCATCTGGGCATGGGAGACCATCACCCACAAGCCCGTAGAGAAAGAAGAACCACTGGCTCAGTTGTGATCATGTGACATTCAGTGTCACATACTACTTGTATTGCAAGACATCGCTAGTTTATCAAGTTAAAATTTATTGGAAATGTTTGCTCGTCTTGCAGAACACTCGCAGAACAAGCTACTCGCAATCCAAGGTTTTACTTGTATGTAGAATAAAGACTGAAAAGTTACCTGGAATATACTTTAATACAATACCAGGCGTTATTTTGTAGTTTATACTCATCACCTCAATGAATTCTCACAATTATACATCCTAAGTACTACATTTTACAAATGAGGTTAAAAAGGAGGTTTAGAGAGATTAAGTAACTTGCCCAAGGTTAAAGTTAGTAGATAACACACCAAGACTCGAATCAAAGTTTTTCTGTAAAATTCTCCCCCAAGCCACTGCCTCTTCCATTACTAACTCCAACACACACCTGTAAATTCTCCAGAAGTTCCTACATTGAGGCAGATTTGGATGATCTCAGAAGCAGAAGCATAGAACAACACCCAGTGATTCTCAAATGTTTTGGTTTCAGGACCGCTTTACATTCTTAAAATTATTGAGGACCTCAAAAAGTTTTTATTTATGTGGATTCTATCTTTTGATATTTACCATGTAAGGCCTTAAAACAAAAAAAGTTAAATACTTATCAACACAATTAACAATAACAAACCATCAAAGTTAATATAAAGAACACTTTCAATTAGAAATTATCTTTTTCCCCAAAATAATTAGAAAAGTAATATCGTTTTACATTTTTGCCAATT